GGATGAGGATAATGTACACCTGTCATCAGAAACAGGGATGCAGAGTCCATGGAATAGAAGTTGCACCTCAAAAGCATTTCTGTTCCTCTTATTCTTTGTAGGCAATGTCAGAGTGACTGACAAGCTGAGATACAACCCATCAGCATCCGATGACAGCGACTGCATGAATCTTTTGTCACGTGACAAAGACACATGAGAGCAGAAGCAGCCAAGCAGGCTGGGAAGTGCAGGGACTGCACAGTCATTTGGGCCTCCTCAATTTATTCAGGCTTAACTGCTAACTGTGGAGTCATTCTGACATGTGACGGAGTAGCCAGTTGCACTTTGTGCTCTCTGTAAGATTTCAGCAAGAGTCTGTCTGTCTTCCCAGTCAAAGGACCCCTTTTCTTGATAGACAGTGCCTGTGGCTGGAGGCTCTACACACCGGGTGTGCCTGTGGAGGCCAAAGACTGCCAGTATTAGCACAGATGAGGTGTGTGACCTCCCCAAATTTACAGACTGTATATAAATGAGAAGTGGGTGGGATTATATTTTACAGCAACCCTGTGATTTTCTCCACCCATAAGATTTTGTGAGCTGATATAGCAGTACGAATTCCAAAATAACTTTAAAAACCCCCACAAGATCATCATCATCATCATCATCATCACATTTATACCCCCAGGCCTTAGTTGCCTCCCCATGATCTAGAATAAACACCAGCTTTGAATCATACAGAGTAAAACTACCAGAACCTTCTTGAACCGATAGGTTAGGAATTATCGCTGTACTTAGATCCGTACTTTTCTATGCCTGAGAAATGCAACCATGACACTTGGAATGTTCAGGAATGCAGGAGAGGATATTTTGTTTGATTATATCCTTTCCAACTTGTGTTAACAAGTTGTACAATTTAGCAGAGTAACATTCCCCCTTTTAAACTTACAGCGGATGCATTTGCTCAGGCTCGCTAAAGCCTCTAAAATAAGATTCCTTGGTAATTTCCACTTTAGTCCCTCATAAAAAGATAAGACATGACACAGTCTTCTATAAAAGTATAAAAAGAGTTGACTCACACATTCTGTTCACAAATGGATCCCAGAAGGCGGTGACCCCCAGGCTGCACACCTGGTCCTTCAGGGGCACAGTTACCCCATCAGGACCAGGAGTGCTCCCACCCTCCCCCAGGGACAGTATTTCTGACTTGTCAGGATTCAACCTCAATGTGTTGGCCGCCATCCATCCTCCAACCACCTCCAAACAGACACACAGGGCATTCACCATCCTCACTAGTTCCAATTTAAAAGAAAGGAAGAGCTGGGCATCATCCACATACTGGTGAACACCCAGCCCAAACCCCCTGATGATCTCTCCCAGTGGCTGCATATAGATAGTAAAAAGCATGGGGGAGAGAATGGAGTCCTGAGGCACCCCACAAGTAAGCATCCAGGGGTCTGAACACTCATCACCCAACACCACTTTCTGGACATGGCCCAGGAGGAAGGAGGGGAACCACTGCATAGCAGGGCCCCCAGCTCCCCTAGAGGGTCCAGAAGGACACCATGACCAAAGGTCTCCAAAGCCGCTGAGAGATCCAGCAGAACCAGGAAACAGCTTCCCCCTCAGCCTCTGGCCCGTTGGAGATCATCAACCAGCACAACCAGGGCAATTTCAGTCCCATGATGAGGCCTGAATCCCCATTGGAAGGATCATGGTGGCAGGAGCTTTCCTGGTCCTGCACCCCCAAAAGCGCCAGCCACAAGACTTTCAATAGCTTTGAAGGGGCCACATGATTCATTGTGGTCTTTTCTTCGAAAAACAAATATTTTGAATACTTTTACAGTGCCGTATGATGTAAATATGGGATCCGGGTGTGCTGTGGGTTAAACCACAGAGCGTAGGACTTGCCAATCAGAAGGTCGGCGGTTCGAATCCCCGTGATGCAGTGAGCTCCCATTGCTTGGTCCCTGCTTCTGCCCACCTAGCAGTTCGAAAGCACGCCAAGGTGCAGGTAGATAAATAGGTACCACTCCGGCGGGACGGTAAACGGCGTTTCCATGCGCTGCTCTGGTTCGCCAGAAGCGGCTCAGTCATGCTGGCCACATGACCCAGAAGCTGTATGCCGCTGGCTCCCTCGGCCAATAAAGCGAGATGAGCGCCGCAACCCCAGAGTCGGCCACGACTGGACCTAATAGTCAGTGGTCTCTTTACCTTTACCTTTTTGATGTAAATTTTGTTTCTGTTTCCCTTGTTCCACATCGGAGAGACTTTGATACACAGCTCTGAGCCCATCTCCCCACTTTAAACTGCTGTGTTTGTAGCACTGCCAGCCTGGGCAGGGTGTTTGGGGGTCCTGGGCTGCCTAGACAACCAGACCCCCTTCTCAGCCCAGCTGATATGGTCCCAAGGAAAGCAGAGCAGTATGTTTGGCACCAGCTTGGCTGCAGGAGTTAATGAAGAAGGTGTGCACGACACCATCCAACCGTCTTAGAGACTCCACTCTGGATTTGTGTGGGTTTCCCTCCATAGCCTTTTCTTCTCCTGAACATAACTCATGAGGCAGTGAAGGTTTAGGACCAGAGTTTTCCTTCTCGATGGGCTTCCTTCCCTGGTTGACGATCCCATCGGCCCTTCATTTTCCTCTTCAGCACGGGCAGAATCTGCCTTCTAGACTGTGGGATTCACTGTTCTTCTCCTCCTCTCCATCCACCAGGGCTTGACTTCAGGTGCAGCAGAATTGCCCAGCCCCCCAAGGATTTGAGACCCATCAGCTATCCTCACCTGGTTTTGCCAGCCGGTTGAAGCCATTCCAGGGATTGTGGCCCCTGATTCATCCTGACAGCTTCTGGAAGGCACAGGTGAGAGCTGAGTGCAGGGTGGGGACCACCAAAGGTACTACCGCTCCCATGACACCTCATGACATCATATAATAGCTATATTTGAGATAGAACCGGAATGAATTCATGTCTCTAGAAATAAAACAACTTCAGGCCATCAATAATTCAACACTACATATTCAAGGTAGAAGTTTTCACTAGTACCGTTATCCATTTGCCTTTAATATGCAGCTTTTTCAGTGTCACTTTAGGATGGGCTCGAGATCAGGCAGCCCATCATTATTATAAGGAGCAGTGGGGGTCTGGGATTCCGATGTACCAGCTGCTTTTCTTCTGCTTCTCCTGCTCTCTCCATGCAATCTGAGGCATGTAGATGGAGGTCCATCTCCAAGAACAGGAGCTTCCCTGAGCACCCATTCAGCTGACCCCAAGCACCAAGCCTTGTCACTAGTTCTCTGACTGACCCAGACCGCAGTCCCTGGAGAAGATGTAGACCTGGGCCTCCCAAAATGGTCCACATGGACCTCTTGTGGCCAATGAGACTGTGCAGGTGATTCATAAAGATCTAGAGGTGCATGCAGGATTATGATGCAGAGGATGGGGAATGTCCAAAGGAACGATGGACCAGAGAAAGAGAGGGCCTGTTCACGGACAGAGAGCAGCTGCCTTTCCTGTGAGGAAACAATTGATTTGAAAAGGCTGTGTTCCAAGATCATGCTGCTTTATTAACAATGATTGAGGATTATGAAAGGTGGTGATGCATTACTATCATTTGATGACATTGCTTTTTCATTTCCAAAAAATTGGGAACATGGGTAGGAGGCGGGGGAATGTAGGAGATGTTGATATAAGAGAAGAGGCTAATGGCACTTGATGTGCTCTCTTTCCCTTTGTTCTCTTCCTTGAAACCCAAACAGGATTTCCTTTCCTCCCACTCTGAGGAACGTGATGGAGAAGACATTCAGAATTCCAAGGAATGGGGCACCTTTTGTTTCATTAGGAATAGAAATTAAAATGTGTGAAATGTGGGATATGCTTCATTGAATGAGGACACATAGCTCACATCAATGACTCTGAGAGGAGAAACCATTTAAAGGTATGGAGTGTGGGGAAAGTTACACTGATAGTGGAAAACTTAGAACACATCAGCGGATTTACATGGACAAGAAAGGATTACAATGCAGGGAGTGTGGAAGAACTTCAGTCAGAGAGGATTCCTCAATATACATCAGCGGACACACAGGGGAAAAACCATATAAATGCATAGAGTGCGGAAAGAGTTTTAGTGATAGTAGAGACCTTAGAAAACATCAACGGATTCACACAGGGGAGAAACCATATCAATGTATAGAGTGCGGAAAGAGCTTTAGTCAGAGTGGAGGCCTTAGAAATCATCAACGGATTCACACAGGGGAGAAACCATTTCAATGTATGGAGTGTGGAAAAAGCTTCTGTCGGAGTGGACACTTAAGTTCACACCTACAGATTCACACGGGTGAAAAACCTTTTAAATGCATGGAGTGTGGGAAGAGCTTCAGGCAGAATGGAGAACTTAAATTACACCAGCGAAGTCACACCGGTGAAAAACCATATAAATGTATGGAGTGTGGAAAGAGCTTCAGTCAGAGTGACCACCTCAATAGACATCACCAGACTCACACAGGGGAGAAACCATATAAATGTATGGAGTGTGGAAAGAGCTTCAGTCAGAGTGACCACCTCAATAGACATCAATGGACTCACACGGGTGAAAAACCATATAAATGTATGGAGTGTGGAAAGAGCTTCAGTAAGATTGGAAACCGCAATATGCATCAACGGACTCATACAGGGGAGAAACCTTTTAAATGTAGGGAGTGCGGAAAGAGCTTTAGTGATAGTGGAAACCTTAGAAAACATCAACGGATTCACACAGGGGAGAAACCATTTCAATGTATGGAGTGTGGAAAAAGCTTCTGTCGGAGTGGACACTTAAGTTCACATCAACGGACTCACACGGGTGAAAAACCATTTCAATGTATGGAGTGTGGAAAGAGCTTCAGTCGGAGTGGACACCTCAATAAACATCACCAGACTCACACAGGGGAGAAACCATTTCAATGTATGGAGTGTGGAAAGAGCTTCAGTCAGAGTGGACACCTCAATAGACATCACCAGACTCACACAGGGGAGAAACCATATAAATGTATGGAGTGTGGAAAGAGCTTCAGTCAGAGTGATAAACTTAGAATACATCAACGGACTCACACGGGTGAAAAACCATATAAATGTATGGAGTGTGGAAAGAGCTTCAGTAAGATTGGAAACCGCAATATGCATCAACGGACTCATACAGGGGAGAAACCTTTTAAATGTAGGGAGTGCGGAAAGAGCTTTAGTGATAGTGGAAACCTTAGAAAACATCAACAGATTCACACAGGGGAGAAACCATATAAATGTATGGAGTGTGGAAAAAGCTTCAGTTTCGATGCAGGCCTTCGATCACATCAACGGACTCACACAGGCAGGGGAAAACCATATGAATGTATGGCATGCGGGAAGAGCTTCAATCAAAAAGGAGACCTTAAATTACACCAGCAAACTCACACAGGGGAGAATCCATTTAATGCATGGAATGTGGAAAGAGCTTCAGTTTCAATGCAAGCCTTAGAATACATCAACTGGCTCACACAGGGGGAAAACCATTTAAATGCATTGAGTGCGGAAAGAGCTTTAGTCAGAATGGAGACCTTAAAACACATCAACGGATTTACACAGGGGAGAAACCATATAAATATGTGGCGTGTGGAAAGAGCTTCATTCAGATTGGAAACCTTAGAAAACATCAACGGACTCATAAAGGGTGAAACCATTTAAATGCATTGAGTGCGGAAAGAGCTTCACTCAAAATGGAAACCTTAAAATACATCAATGGATTCACACAGGGGAGAAAACATTTAAATGTATGGAATGTGGAAAGAGCTTCAGTAAGAGTGGACACCTCAATATACATCAACGGACACACACGGGAGAAACCATAAGAATGCATGGAATGTGGAAAGAGCTTCAGTTTCTTTTCTATTTTTATATATATATAATATTTATTAAGATTTTTGAAATATTACCGTAAAAATGAAAAAGAAAAATACAAAATAAAAACAGTTAAAAACACACCTATTTTCTATTACTTATTTTCCTTTAGCTTATTTCCCGGACCTCCTCATACCTCCCTTTTTTGTATTCCGCTTCAATTCATTGGTTCAGCAAATCCTTACCATTAGATTTTAACCCAATTATAACCCTTTTTTCATATTCTCTTAAAGCATTACAGCTGGGAACCCTTAATTGCTATCCTACATCATTCTATCATTCATTAATTTTACAATATTTCTGTAGATAGTCTTTAAATTTCTTCCAATCTTCTTCCACCGACTCTTCTCCCTGGTCTTGGATTCTGCTAGTCATTTCTGCCAGTTCCATATAGTCCATCACCTTCATCTGCCATTCTTCCAAAGTGGGTAGTTCTTGTGTCTTCCAATACTTTGCAATGAGTATTCTTGCTGCTGCTGTAGCATACATAATAATAATAATAATAATAATAATAATTTTTATTTATATCCCGCCCTCCCCAGCCGAAGCCGGACTCAGGGCGGCTAACAACAATAAAACAGTATAAAAGTATAGCATAAACAACATTCTAAAATCATTCATTATAAAATTAATTAATTCAGGCCACTGGCAACCATTGGGCCAGAGCTCTGCGAAGATTGCCGAGGGAGGGAGTCAGACTGTGCCTTGGCCAAAGGCCTGGTGGAACAGCTCTGTCTTGCAGGCCCTGCGGAAAGATGTCAAGTCCCGCAGGGCCCTGGTCTCTTGTGACAGAGTGTTCTACCAGATCGGAGCCACAGCCGAAAAAGCCCTGGCTCTAGTTGAGGCCAGCCTAACTTCTCTGTGGCCTGGGACATTCAAGATGTTTTTATTTGAAGACCGTAAGTTTCTCTGTGGGGCATACCAGGAGAGGCGGTCCCGTAGGTACGAGGGTCCTAGGCCGTAGAGGGCTTTAAAGGTTAAAACCAGCACCTTAAACCTGATCCTGTACTCCACCGGGAGCCAGTGCAGCTGGTGTAGCACCGGGTGAATGTGATCTCGCAGCGAAGACCTCGTAAGGAGTCTCGCTGCAGCATTCTGCACCCGTTGGAGTTTCTGGGTCAGTCTCAAGGGCAGCCCCACGTAGAGCAAGTTACAATAATCCAGTCTGGAGGTGACCGTCGCGTGGATCACAGTGGCTAGGTCAGGGCGAGAGAGGTAAGGAGCCAACTGCTTAGCTTGGCGGAGATGGAAAAATGCCGCCTTTGTTATAGCTGCAATCTGCGCCTCCATGGAAAGAGAGGTGTCGAAGATTACACCCAAACTCTTAACGGACAGTGCTGGCACTAATTGCGCCCCCGCAAGAGATGGGAGTTGCCCCCCAATCCCATATCGCCACGTCCCAGCCACAGGACCTCTGTCTTTGAAGGATTTAGCTTCAACCGGCTCCCACGTAACCATCCAGCCACAGCTTCCAACATAAAAAAAGTTCTGTCCTTCTTTGACACCAATTGGCCGACAATGCCCAGAAGAAAGGCCTCTGGTTTCTTCAAGAAGGTATATTTAAATACCTTTTTCAGTTCATTATATATCATTTCCCAGAAGGCCTTAATCCTTGGGCATGTCCACCAAAGGTGAAAGAATGTACCTTCAGTTTCTTTACATTTCCAGCAGTTATTATCGGTCAAATGATAGATTTTTGCAAGCTTGACTGGGGTCATGTACCACCTGTATATCATTTTCATAATATTCTCTCTTAGGGCATTACATGCCGTAAACGTCATACCTGTGGTCCATAACTGTTCCCAGTCAGCAAACATAATATTATGTCCAACATCTTGTGCCCATTTAATCATAGCAGATTTCACTGTTTCATCCTGAGTATTCCATTTCAACAGCAAGTTATACATCTTTGACAAAATCTTAGTTTTGGGTTCTAACAGTTCTGTTTCTAATTTTGATTTTTCCACCTGGAAGCCAATTTTCTTATCGAAATTAGATGCCTCCATTATCTGATAATAATGAAGCCAGTCTCACGCTTGTTTTTTAATTTCTCAAAACTCTGCAGTTTCAGTCTATCTCCTTCTTGTTCCAAAATTTCCCAATATTTCGGCCATTTGGCCTCCATATTGAGCCTTTTCAGAGCTTTCGCTTCCATCGGTCACAACCACCTTGGGGTTTTATTTTCCAATAAATCCTTGTATCTTATCCAAACATTAAACAATGCTTTCCTCACAATATGATTTTTGAATGCTTTATGTGCTTTGACCTTATCATACCATAAATATGCATGCCATCCAAATACGTTGTTAAAGACTTCTAGATCCAAAATGTCTGTATTTTCAAGAAGTAGCCATTCTTTCAACCAGCAAAAAGCTGCTGATTCATAGTAAAGTTTAAAGTCTGGCAGGGCACATCCACCCCTTTCCTTTGCATCAGTTAATATCTTAAATTTTATTCTGGGCTTCTTGCCCTGCCAGACAAATCTAGAGATATCTCTCTGCCACTTCTTGAAACAGTCCATCTTGTCCACAATTTGCAATGTCTGAAACAAAAACAACATTCTAGGCAATACATTCATTTTTATCACAGCAATACGACACAACAGTGAAAGCTTCAAATTTGACCAAATTTCTAAATCTTTTTTCACTTCTGTCCAACATTTTTCATAATTAAACTGCCCGCTTGGTCTTTATGAATCTCTTCCATCAATACAAAGAGCTTCAGTTTCAATGCAAGCCTTAGAAGATATCATGTGACTCACACAGGGGAGAAAACCATTTAAATGCATGAAGTGCAGAAAAAGCTTCAGTCAAAGGGGAAATCTTAGAAAACCTCAGCAGACACACAGTTAAGAAACCATTTAAATGTATGGAGTTTGGAAGGAGCTTCAGTCCGAGTGGAACCCTTGATTTACATCAACAAACTCCCACATGAGAGAAACCCTATAAATGTCAAGTAGACAGAGGTTCAGTCCTAGTGGAAGTCCTACATCAACAGAATCATGGACAGGAAGAACTTTAACACTTGACACCCTACAAACCCATCAACCCTCAAAGAGGAGAAGCTGTTTTAAGGGAAAGATTGCAGAAAGTGCTTTAGTTATAATGGAGTGTTTAAGGAACATCTAAGGACTCAGAGGGGAGAACCCATTTAGATGTATGGAGTGTGGGATATGTTCCTTTCAGAGTCCACTCTTTTGTTCACAGCAATGAACTTTTGGGAGAATCAATTCCTGCGTCCAGTCAGCGCTTCCCCTGTGCAGCTCTGCTTTGGGGCTTGAGGCTGACCTGGGCAGGAGAGCAGAGTAGCAGCAGTCCTGCGTCCGTGTGAGATGAGGGATAAATCAAGTCCAAAGACAGTTCGGTTCTTATCTCTAGAAGCGTTTATTTACAAGCCATAAATCAGTCACATTCCATCGGAGATTTCCGGCATCTCCTGTGCTCAAAAGCACACACGCAGCCTCTGAGTTGAGCTGCGTCTTAGGCAGAATCGAAAGCAAGTCTGAACAGAGATACAGACTATGACGCACTTCTCGGCGTCAAGCTCCTCCCAGATACAGGACACCATGGAGTTTTAACCCTGTCAGTTCCAAACTCCACACCCCCTCTTGTCCTGCATCTGGGGACAATAGCCAACAATGCTTTCCCCATACACAGACCCTCACAGAACTCCTCGTGCTTCTGGAAAGTTAATGGTTTTGTGAAACCATCAGCGAGGTTCTTGGTTGAGGGACAGTATTTCAGAACAACTAGCCCCTCATGAACACTCTGACATACATTCCGGAAACGTATGTCCAAATGTTTGGTCCTCGCCTTGAATTGCCCCGTCTCGGCCAATTTGAGGCATGGTTGATTGTCTTCATGCACCACAATGGGCAGACAATGCTCTCCACAGATTTCCTCAACCAAACACACATAGAACTCCAGCTCTCTGCAAACCTCTGATAGAGCACTGAACTGAACTCAGCTTCAGTAGATGAAAGCGCTATGAGACTTTGCTTCCGGGACCTCCACCCAACTACTGAGTCTCCAAACTTCACCACTAGGCCTGACACTGATTTGCGGTCCTCAAGGTTAGCCCAATCCGAATCCACCCATGCGGTCAGCTTGACACCGCCCTCAGCTGACATCTTGAGGCAAAAATCTTTGGTATCTTGCAGGTAACGTAGCACCCGCTTAATACCATTCCAGGCCTGCACACTAGGACTTGAAGCCTCTCTACTGAGCAGATTGACAGCAAACACTATGTCTGGTCTGCTCCACTGTGACAGATACAGTAGACTACCCGGAGCTGACTGAAAGAGTTCAGTATTTTCGAACACAACGCGTTCTACTTGCTGACACTCCTTCACGTATCCAGCCTCCATGGGAGTTTTGGCACCTGCACAATTAGACATCCTGAACTTCTCAAGCAACTGTTCAATCTTACCTTTCTGGCGAAGCAAAAAGCGTCCATCACTTGATCTTGTGATCTCTAAGCCTAAATACGATTTGACATCTCCAAGCTGCTTGATCTTGAACCCGTTTTCCAAGCTCCCTAGCAAACTTCTCCACCTGTTTACTTGTCTGTGCCATGATCAAGATATCATCAACAAACACCTGAATCACTTATTGTTTCAAGCCTGAATCTCTAATGTAAAGACTACTGTCTGCAAGAGATCTCTTAAAAGGTTCATACCTTTTCATCCAAACTCCACAGAACTCAGCAGGAAATCCATCTTAAAAGCATGTCATGTATTTGAGGTTCTGCTGTTTATATGTAAAACTGTATAGTAATGAAATAATGAAGGTAACGTCTCACTCTAGTGAGTATAATTTTAGATGTAAGGTACCTTTTGATAGTGAGGGGGAGTTGGTGAATCTGGATTTCTGGGATGCTCATCTGCCTGGAAGCAGCTGGCAGAAAGGTTTTCTTCGTGAAGCCCCTGCAGATGCCGAG